ATGTATCACACACGCTCCGCAGGCAAGCGCTACGAGCATCTGGGGGCAGCTGATGCTCCGAAGGTAGTGGACCTCCCAGCTTATATGATAGGTAGTAGGGGGGGAAAGAGCTACGCCCTCGTATTAGTCTATTTCAGCCGGTGAACTTATCCCAACGCGGCTGTTACGGCACATGGGCAGCTCGGTGCGGGAGGAGTCGAGATCAAGAAGTTGGTGATGGTGCTAGTTATTTCGAGTAGGGCGATGGTCGGCATGTTTGTCGTAAATCGGTTGGAGAGGAGGCTGAATGAAAGGGGTGTAGATTTTTAACGCCCAGTTGAACGCCTAGGCTTATATGCCGTACCCTGCGGGCGGAGATGTGGCTAGGGAGGAGGGGGGGAGGAGGATGTTGCGGCGGGGGGTGGTGAGGGCGCAGAGCGTGCATTTGATTGGGGAGACGGATCCGTGGAGGGGGGAGAGTGAGAAGTTGGTGGGGTATTTTGGGGAGGAGGGAAGGAAGGTCATGTGGTTTAAGGGGGGCCATCATATGCCGGCGGAGGACGCAGTCAATAAGCAGGTGGCGAGGATTATGTTGGCGGCTTGTGGGAAGGTGTGAGGGAGAGAAAGGATTCAAGGGAAGGGTCAGGTGGTTGGATTTGTATTTGAGGGGGGGTTGCGTACATCTAGTAGACGGGCATTTATGGAAGGTGAAAAGAGGTGAAGATACGATCTATGAACGGGCTATGCTTCAGGTTGTTGATGCTTGAAACACGATATTCGGAAGACCACCTGCCCTAGGTGTGAGCCAGATACCAACGGCTCACAGCGAAGTGAAACCACGTAATCAGTCCTCGTCCGAGTCCGAGAACACAGATTCGTTCTCCGTCGCATCCGTGTGAGACACCGCTAACTCGTTATGTGCCGCCTCCAATTCAAACGCCACAGACTCGTTATACATCGCGTCCAAGTCATCACTTGTCGGCTCACGAGGTGCTTCGGCTGGGCTATCTGACTGGAAAGTAGCGATCCGGCGCATGAGCTTGTGGTAGCATATGTTGCATTTCTTGGGGCCGTCACCGGGGACAAAGTAAATGTTGGCCCTATCGGTTCTGTCACAGATACAGCACTTCTGTTTGGCGCTGCAGGGTGGGCAGAGCTGACCAGGAGTCTCAACAAGGACGTTGAGATTGTCGCACCCCCGGCAGAACTTGTAATAGTCGGCGATCATCATCCTCTCATGGATGCCTTGCCATAAACCAAAATACTCCCAGAGGTACAAGATGGTTAATCCTCTCCGCTGGGCTGGCGTTAGACACCCTATGTTGCCTTTCACGGCGTTGACCAGCAGCCAGAGCCAAGCCTCATCGTCGGCGCACTCCAAACAGTAGGGCTTCCGAACTAGATCTCGCTCTTCCTCAGACATCTGTGCAATCTTAGAGAGCCGTTCTCCCTCTTGTGGCATTATCAGGTCTAGCCACTTAGAGACACTCTTGTTGCATTTCGTGCATTCAGTCTCCAACTCTTTGACTTCCTCGTCACTGTCTTCGCCGTCTTCTGAGCCCTCTGGAGTAAAAAGCGGACTCAATGGCCTTTCCGGCTTTGGACTCGGGGGCATTCGGGGCACACCCTGTGTGTCGGCCTGATCCTCCATCTCGACGTCCATCATTGTCGTATCTTGATCCATGATAATTAATCAATCAAATTTTGATTGGTGTCTCTTAAGTGGTGAGTATAAGAAAGTTTCTGGTGCTCTGGCCTCTTATTCCCACTTATCTGCCGTCCGCACTGTGTCAATCGCCCTTACAAGCAAGGATTTAAGTAACAAATCCAGGTCCCAGTTGTGGGCATGTAAGAAATAGCAGCCATGTAGTATCCCAGTAAATGGGTATGTTGTACATGCGTTCATATACTGCACTCGATTCACAAGGGCTTTGTTCCCTGGCGATCCAATGCTGCGAGCACAAGGTGATCTTTGTTTGACCGCCCATTGTTGCCTAACTAAACTAAACTTGGGAAGTTGTCACCTGGTGATATTCACATTTCCTGACGCCCAGCCCGATCAGGGTTGGGGGTGAGACGTTCATTACACTGTTCCTAGCGCATCAGATGATCCACGGTTGTAGAGGATCTTTGATGCACACATGACCGCCTCAAGGGGCTAGAACTGTCCGCTCCGTCCCGGTTAGCAAATGGTTATACCCGTTTCTCGCCTATGAACTTCCGTAATACACAGACCTAGAACGGAGTGAGCCCGGCACGGGTGGACCTCGGAATAAACACCAGCAAGGAGTATAGCCAACAGCGAGTAAGACGGAACAACAAAATAGATTATTATTCATTGGCATGCTGTTCAGAATGCGAGCCTTAGCTTGTGCGGTATCTACAGTGGGCGGTTCTCCCGCCACGATCAAGCGTAGACACCCTGCGCAATCTTCTCTGAAAGCGCAGCGTCAGGAGTGATGTAAGTAGAGAGCGCCGATTTCCAGCCGACGATGAGGTCGGCGACCATGCGGCCAAAGACGTCAGTTCCGTGTGGGTTGAGGTGAGTCCGGTCGCCTTGGGCGAGGTTGTATTTATCGGCGTTGGACGAGCCAATGGCCTGAACGTACTTCTTCGAGGCGGCGTTGAGGTCGAGAAATGCGACGCCGACAGCCGCTGCCGCCTTCTTAGCCGCCTCGGACACGTTGGCAAGGCTGTCGTCCAGCTGGCCGTTGGTAAAGGTGCGACGCGTAAGCGATGTCAGAATTACGGGTATTCCGCCGGCCGTTTTGACCTGGTTGGCCATGTTTTGAAGGTTGGTCTGGAAGGCAGAAATGCTGACGCCCGAGGTAGATTTCTGGAACAAGGCAAGAAGTCGAAGTTCAGTAACGATTGGATGGTGAGAATCTTGGATAGAAACACGAGGTCCGTACCTGGTCATTGTGCCCGAACTGGATCGTCACGTAGCAGTCGTACTTGTCCTTGTTGCTCTTGACCAAATCTAACACCTTTCCCCAGTCGCCCCCGGCGACAAATGAAGCCGTCGTAGCACCGCTGTGCCCCTTATTCTTGCCGATAGCTCCGTTCTGCAGAATGGCCACGAAGCCATCGCCCCAGCCACCGTTGACGGCTGTCGTAGAATCACCCGCGAGAAAGAAGGCGGCAGACTTTGCTTGCCGGCTTACAGGGGTCGCCGTCACTGCAAGAAAGGTGGACACAAGACTAGTAGCGAGAAGTGAGAGCTTCATGGTGTCATGGACAGTCTCGTGATAGTTAATGACTTCGATGTGGGTGTGTGATTGATCGTATTTTGTTACATCAACTTCGATGCTATGGCACCATAATCCCCTAGTGGCAATACAGCCTGCTTATAACCCCAGATGCTCCGAGTGCTAGTCGGGCTCTTTGGCAAGGTTACACTTCCACTGGCCCGGAACCTTTCCCTGGGTTGGAGAGAACGTTAATGTTCGCGCTCGCATGATTGGTTGATAGCTTAATGCCATGTGAAGGTGCGGATAGGGACGCTCCGCTTGTGACAAGGGGCACAGGGGCAGACCCCTCAGCTGGCGAGATCGCCGGCGTTTGCAAGACGGGTTAGGTGGAGAATCTAAGAGAACAAGATCCGGTTGAAACGCTCTGGACTATGTGACGGAAAAATACTGCAAAGTGTGGTGTCATAGGCGCAAAAGATGTCGGGTTTACATGGGCCGAAGCCGATGTAATAGTCGCCTTTTCGGGTTCATTGAGTCCGGCGCGCGGAACGAACCGTATCGCAAAGGCCCTGATATCTCCTTACCCATAACTGCCTCCGTATCTCCTGTTCTAGCTGTTGGCAGATCGACTTTGAGAGCTCGCGTTGGACGTCGGATGGGCCACTTGTAAGGAAGAGTGCAAGAAGTCTTTCGCCTTCGGACAACGGCGCGGGTTTCCAGACTATTGGAGGGTGGCACATTCTATTACCGTTTGCCACGTTTTTTTTAATTCAATTCTTTTATACTATATCTACGATGAGGCGCTGTTTTCCAGTTGCTCCATGTATTATTACCAACAGCTCTATGATTCATGTTGTATGTCACTGCCACTCTTGACCTCTGGAAAGTTGCGTGTGCCCCTTGGAGGAAGCCTTTCTCCCGAATACCTTCGTATTGCAAACTTCTAAACCAGACTTCCAAGAGAAAAAGCTTGAATACAAAACAATAGCCAATACTAGGTACATGGCACCTACAGCATGACAAGAACCGAATACGCCCAATCCAACCCCTTCCATCTCAACTCTCCCCAACCAGATCCCCCACCGTCGCGACCCCCTTCCCACCACACGCCGCAACAACCCTCTCCACCATCTCCCCCATCTTCCCCGCCATCCCCTCCACCTCCGCCCTCTCAAAAATCCCCTCATCATAAAACATCGCCAGATTATGCCCACCCCCTACCGCCTTGGCCACCTCCACAACAAGGGCATACGGCTGGAACATGCGCACGCGCGACTTGGCCATGACCAGCCACCGGAAGTTCAGCCCCCCATTCGGATCATCATCCGCCACCGCCGGCGCCGGCGTAAACGGCTGAAACAAGAACAACACACGGCTACCCACCTCGGCGCGGCACAGACCCGCCGCCGCGTACATCTCATCCAGCCCGACATCGCCGTGGTCGGTCGCCGCCCAGAAATCGTCGTGCGTGTGGAAGAGGTAGCTGGGGGAGGGGTTCGGCGGTGGTCAGGGTGGCGGGGACGAGGAAGGGGAGGAAGTTGGCCACGGTGCCCGTTGATGGTTTGTGGGTCGCCGGGGAGGGGCCGCTGCGATGGTGCCCGGCAGGCTGCGCCCACTGACGAGGTAGTCGAAGGCGATGGGTTGGTGGGTGGTGCCGTGCGTGTGGCCGCCGGCGGTTTGCCAGAGCCAGAGCTGGAAGGCGGCTTGGAAGATGGAGGATGGGGTTACGCCGAGGTTGGCGGCGAGTTGTTCGAGTGTGTCGGCTTGTGTTGCGGGTAGGGGTTGGCGGAGGAGGCCGGTGCTGCAGGGGGCGGGTGCTTTGAGCCATGGTGCGACGGTGTTGGTGGCTGGTTCGTTGTACTGAGTTATTTCGCTGCGGGAGAGCTTCGCTGCCCAGTACCTGAGGGATCGAGACTTGTTCGCTTCAAAGACTGCAAAGGCGAAGTCCTTGAACAAGACGTGTTTGGGGATCTCGGTGCTGCAAAGGATGGCGTTGAAGTGGTCGTCTAAGATGCGCAGGAGGGTCCCGTCGTACACGGCGTGATCCATCTTGATGACCAGATCCCAGGTCTTGTCAGGATAGGTGATCATGACATACCGGATGAACGGTTCCGGCGAAGTAAAACGGTATGTGTACACCTCGTTGATCATCTCAGAGATCTCATCTTCTTCTTGGCCTTCTACCCTCAACAGGGTGAGTTTCACATCTCGCAGGACAACACCGACCCATGTTTCGGTGTCTGGTACTTTCACCCATGTGGTTCGGAGGATGTCGTTGGCCTGAGCAAGGGCTTCTGTTGCCGCAATCCACTGGTCTTGATCGATAGAGGCCGACATGCGTCGGACAGTGTTGAGCACCCACATTTGTTCGTCCCGAGCACCTTGTTTCAAGAACTCAGTTTGACCGGGAGGGCATGGATAGACTACAAGATGTCAGCGTTTCCTTTTTCGCATGTCTTCATCAGGGGGACGTACCATAGTCCACGTCCTGGTCCCAGCTCAACCCACGGGTGACCAGCAGGCTCTTGACCGATTCTGATGTTTCAAAGATGGGTTTCTCAAACGGTTCAAGTTCCACCTCCAGCTTATCCATGGTTGTTGCGAGGTCCTTAAGCGTACGGTGCCTCAGGATATCCGGAACACTCAACGCGAAACCACGCTGGCGCGCCAGGCTGGCTAAGCTGATGGCGGATATGGAGTCCCCGCCCAAGGAACGGAAGTTCGCCTCCCTGCCGATAGACGTTTGTTCTGGAATGCCCAAGACCTCGGCCCACATGGACTCGAGCAAACCCTCCTCGTCGTTCTGGACGGGCACCGCAGTGTGTCCCGTTCCGGCCGTACTGCTGAGGACGTATGGGTAGATGGCTGCGCCACTCATTTCCTCGACCATCTTCTTCAGGGCCTTCCTGTCAACCTTTCTCGACGGCAACTTCGGAAAGTCGGATATGGGCAGCACCACGTGGGGGACCATGTATGGAGGAAGCGAGTGTCCCAGGACGTCCTTCAGAGTCCGCATAGCTTCCTGGTGTTGGTCCGCACGGTGGATAAACACAGCAGCATCAGGGGTAATGGCCCCTCCCTCGATGAAGGTGCAGAAGGCGGCAATTTGCGGCGTCTGGTTGACCTCCACAAGCACAACCGTCGTATCCTTAACCAGCCCAGACGCCCGCACGGCCGCCTCGATCTCACCCAACTCGACGCGGTACCCGTGGATGTGGACCTGATTGTCCTTCCGGCCAAGACACTCCAGCTCGCCGCCGGGCAGCCACCGGACCAAGTCACCAGTCCTGTACACCCGCATCTCTCCCAACGTCTTTCACCTCCACAAACGACGCAGCCGTAAGCTCCGGGCGCCCGAGATACCCGGTCGGACACCATGCGCCCCACCCAATACACAAACTCACCAACAGCGCATACGGCCTTCAGCAAACCCACTCCCACTCCCATCCCCACGCAGCCAACTCCTCACTCTTCCACCCCCGGATTCACCACCGACGCCACACCGTCTCAAACGGACGTCCCAATACTCCCCACCCTCCCAAACAACCTCACCACCACCCGCCCCCATCCCACCCACCACCTCCTTCGCCGCCACCCACCATACACGTCTCCGTCGGACCATAAACATTCACCACCCTACACCTGCGCCCCCACCTCCGCACCACCATCTCGGTCAACGGCTCCCCGCCCACCACCAGCACCTCCAGCCCGGGCACCTCCTCCGGCCGCAGCAGCCCGGCCACGGTCGGCGTGAGGATGGCTTGCCGGGCCCCCAGCGCCCGCGCACAACCCCCCAGGTCGGACAGCAGGCGGTCCGTGGCCGCCATGCACAGCGTGCCGCCCGTGCTGAGCGTGTTGAAGAGATCTTGGACCGAGGCGTCGAAGACGAGGGAGGCGAATTGCAGCGTGCGCCAGGGGAGGGTGCTTGGGCTGAGCGGGGGGTGGCGGCCTTCGGCAATGATCATGCTGCCAACGGCGGCGGCCGCGCTGGCGTGGGGTACTTGGATGCCCTTTGGTTGGCCGGTGCTGCCGGAGGTGTAGAGGAGGTAGGCGAGGAGGGTGGGGGTGGTGAAGATGTGCGGGTTAGTGGGGGGTTGGGAGGCCAGCCAGGTTTGGGCGGTGGTGGTGTTGAGGACGATGGTGTGGAGGGGGGTGGGGGAGGTAGGGGAGGGGTGGTGGTGGTGGGCGAAGTCGGCGTGTTGTTGGTGGATGACGAGGACTTTGGCTTGGGATTCGTTGATGATGAGGGAGTTTCGCTCCGAGGGGTTCTCTGGGCTGAGGGGTGTGTATGCGGCGCCGGCCTTGAGCACGCCGAGGATGGCTACCACGGCGTCGATGGATTTGTCTAGCATGAGGGCTACCACGTCACCGGGTTGGACCCCGATTTGGACAAACAGCCGGCTCATCTTGTTGGCGCGGCGGTCAAGCTCGCCGTACGTGACCTGCTCGGTCCCTTCCCAATCGATTGCTATAGCGTCTGGTGTGGTCTCGGCTTGTTCCTCGAAGCGGGCATGAAGTAGTTGCGGCGGAGGTTCGACGAGGGTTTCGCGGTTGGAAAGGGTGTTCAGCAAGTAACCGCGTTCAGTGTCTCCGAGCACATCGACACTTGATACTGGTTGATCTGGGGATTGAAGGATGGTGGTGGCCACCTTGACGAACGAGTCCATAATAAACTCCAGTCGCTGTGCTTCGGCGGTACCGGAGAGACGGATCTCAATGGTTGTGGATGTAGCTGACTCCGGTGCGTTGCCCAGCTCTTCAACCTCAAGCACTGTTAAGGGTCCCGAGTTCCACAGGGGGCGTTTTCCATATGGTTTGAAAACCTCCCTCACAAAGTCCGGCTCTTCGTTCTTGACTAACACGTTGATGAGGCTGTCGATGCTGCCGGGGTCCAGACCACCGGCCTGCAACGCCCCTCGTAGTCCAACCTGGGAGTGCTTCGCCACCTGGACAAAGCTGGCTCTGACGTCCTTGACCAGATCACCCAGAGTCTTCGTCTGATCGTTAAGCTTGACCCTTTGAGGGACTGTGGTGAGTGTCGGTCCATCCATGTCGGCGATACCGAGGACCGGCACTTCTCTGCCCGAGACAGCGGTAGCAAAGCTGACATCGTGCGATCCGAGGTGGAACGAGAGCACGATGGCCCAGGCGGTGTAAACAATGGACCCGAGCGTGGTCTGCTGCAAGTCCAGGGCCACCCGTCTGGTTGTTACTGTTGCCTCTGTTACAGGGGAATAGTTAATGACCGATCTTGGGGAACCTTGCAAGTAGGAAGCCCAAAACTCTCGGGCCGGTGCTGGATCTTGATCCAGGAGATACCCGATGAAGTTGCTGAACTTGGATCGGGTTGGTGGCTCATTGCCGAGGTACACGGCCGCCACATCCTGGTACAGAAGCTTGTGGGACCAAAAGTCACAGAGGGCGTGGTGGGTTGTGGTGACAAGGTAGCGTCCCTCTATGAGTCCTATGCGGAACAGAGGCCCTGACAAAGACAGGGCGAGAGATCTGTCGTGTTCCAGGTACTCCTCTAGAGATCCATGCCACTCTTGCCACGGTGCTTCAAAGCCTCGCCGGACCGCTTGGATCAAAGATCGGCCTTGGGGAATGAAGGAGGTTTTGTAAATGCCCCTCTCAGCGACCACCCGCTGGAAACTCTTCTTGAGTCGTGCATGGTCAAGGCCCTCCACGTTCCACACACGACGGTATGTGTACGAATCGCCTTCTTGGCCGAGCGTTGCCAGCACGCCTTCTTGTAGGGCTGTGGCGGGATACGCATCTTCGAGTTCCATCCCAAGATCTTTCTGTACACGCTCCCCGAACTCGGTCGAGCCAGCCCCCAGGAGCGAGAAGGGAGGTATCTCCTCGGTGTCCTGCGATGCCTTGCTCGTAGAAGCCCGAGAGACACAGAGAGCCACCTCAACCAATGGCTTGTCCGCTATGAGATCGGCAAAGTCGGTGACGAGTCCTGCCTTGCGAAGTTGGCCAACCGCCTTGATCGCCAACAGCGAGTTACCGCCCAGGGACAAAAAGGAGTGGTGACGCCGAACAAACGTCTCATCAAGGCCAAGTACTGCTGCCCAGACCCGAGCAATATCACGTTCCATGCCAATTGCCGGTTTTTCGGCAGCGTCGTTCGTCGCCACGGTCGGTGCAACAAGGAACTGGGAGAGCCCGGGTGTCCCCAGCTCGCATGCTTTCCTCCTCAGAGCATGAAAGTCAACCTTCCCGTTCATACTCCGCGGCAGCTCCGGCACCGGCAGCCAAAAGCCAGGCACCATGAAAGGCGGAAGCGCCTTCAGCGCAAACTGGCGCAACGAAGCCAACACGTCGGCCCACGAGCGCCCCTTACTCAACACCACAGCCGTCACCAGCGCCAACCTCCCCTCCTCCACCTCGGCCGCAACCGTCGCCACGGCCGCCACATCCGGATGCCCCCCAAGCGCGCGATCAACATCCGCCGGCTCAACCTTAGTCCCATTAATCTTCGCCTGCCAATCAATCCTTCCCAGCATCTCAATCCCGCCCCCAGGCAACCTCCTCACCTTATCCCCCGTCCGATACATCTTCCCATACAACCCCCCCCCACCACCACCACCACCCCCACCCGCATCGACACACCTGACCACCCACCCCGGACTCTGCACAAACACCTTCTTCGTCAACCCCTCCTCCTTCAAATATCCCTCCGCCAACTGCGGCCCCGCTAGACACAGCTCGCCCGGCACCCCCAGCGGCGCGAGCCGCGTCGTCCCCGGCCGCAGCACACACGCCAGCGTCGTGTCCTGCGGCTCGCCCAGCACGCGCGGGTTCTCGCCGGGCAGCAGGCGCAACCCGTGGCTCATCTGCGTGCACTCGCTGGAGCCGTAGCGGTTGCGGACGATGAGGGTGGGCGTGGGGGTGTTGGGGTTGGTGGAGGAGGCCCATTGGTTGACGAGGGGCTCGGGGATGCGCTCGCCGGCAATGGTCACTTGTTTGAGGTGGGGGACGTCGGAGGGTTGGAGGAGGGCGAGGGCGGTGGGAGTGATTTCGACGGCGTCGACGGAGAGGGTGTTGATGACGGAGGCGAGGTCGGTGGCGAGGTGGGATTTGGGGGCGAGGATGATGGTGCCGCCGTGGATGAGGACTGAGTTGAAGGTGCGTTGGGCGGCGGAGGCGGTCGGACTGTAGAAGAGGAGGGTGCGTGGGATGTGCGTGATTGGGGTGTGGTGGGTGATCCCGTTGGCTGCGGCGAGGTGCGTGATCATGGTGCCTTTGGGTTTGCCTGTCGAACCCGAGGTGTAGATGATGTAGCAGCGGTCGGAGGGGTGGGGGCGCTCGATGCCGTGTTCGGCGAGGTTGTTGGCTTGGGTGGCATAGGCACGCGCTTCGTGGAGGAGATCCTCGATGTTCAAGGTTTTGGCGCTTGGGAACTCGGTTGGTGCGTACTTCTTGTCTGCCAGCACGATCGCCGCATTGCACTCGACCACAATCCGCGCATTCCTCTCGTAGGGCATATCCGTACCCATTACCGTGTACGAGGCACCGGACTTGAGAATGGCAAGCATGGCGACGGACAAGTCTGCAGAACGGTCCATGAGCAACGGGACAATGTCTCCCCTGCGGAGTTTGAGAGTCTTGGCCAGTCCGTTTGCCAAAGCGTTCAGCTCGCCGTAAGTGAGGGAGACCTCCTCACCAAACTGCACAGCGGTGCGTTCCGGATGCCGTGATACGGCGGCCTCGATGAGGTCCGGAAGCGTAGGCGGACTGGGGTCTCCAGCAAATGGTGGCGGCCGCAGCAATTCCGCCTCCTCTGCCACGGACACAAGCTCGATGTCCTCGAGAGTCACGCTTGCGAGATCAGTCTTTGCCGATACGCTCTCAATGGCCGTGGCGAGGTGCTCCAGCAGAAGCTCCGCCTCCGCGTTGGGTATGTCGGTGATGTAGTTCAGCATCAGCTTGAGTCCGGGGCCCCCAGCGTCACAGACCGTCAGAACCAAGGGGAATTGTTTTAGACCTGGAGCGATGCATTGTGGGTTGGCGCTTCGGGTATAGTTGAGAACCGCCTCGACTGGTACTTGCTGCGGAACGCGAGTACGCATGTCGTTGAGTCCGACAAACGCATGGGGCGACGCGGCGTCATGGTAGGCTTCAAGCGCCGCAGCGGCATCACCAATGGTGTCTTCCCCTGAGAGCTTCAGACGGACAAGGTAGGTCTGGTCAAGACACCCAATGCAGGAGTCCGACCCAAAGAAGCTGCCGTCTCTGCGGACGGTGCCAAAAACGACTTCGTCCGCTTCGGCATGGAGGCTTAGAACGTAAGCCCAAAGCAGCTCGAGGAGGATCTGTCGAGGAATGCCAGCATTATCTCCTCCTAGGTGAGTGGTGGCGACAATGGTAGTAACAGATGTTCTTGGTCTCGCCGTCGCCTGTCCGGCAAACTCGCGCGGGAGAAGAGCGGGCCGTATTACGGTTCCATCAAGGGTAGTAGCCCAGAACTCTCTTGATGAACCGCAATCCTTGGTCTGCCGCAGAAAGCGGGCGTACGTTGGAAAACCGATATGCTCCTGGGGTGGCAGACCGCCGAGAAGCAAGAACAAGTCAAATTTGATATAGTCGAGTGACGTGGCATCGATCAGGGCGCGGCGGAAATGCAGCCGGAGATGCAGGCCGTTTTCCTTCCCGGCTGCCACCGTGATGTGGGCTAGCCGACCCGGCGAGAGTTTGTCTGGAGCTTCGGCCAGCTTGATCGGTTCGATCCGCCGAACGACTCGGACGACTAGCCGGCCACTCCGCTGATGAACATGCAGATGAGAGCGCAGGCTGGTATCTTTGTGGTTTCGTCAGGCCATGGGCGGTTCGGGAGATTCTCATGGGGATGGGAGTCTTACGGTGGGCTGCCAGCGTGTTCCATGCGTTGACAATGTTTTGAAGATTTGCCCCGTAGCTCGGAAGACGAATCTCGGAGGTGAGCCATTGGATTGTCTCGCCCGCAATATCGGCTTGAACCCGAGTGGCCTCAAACTCGTTCTCGATATCTGAGAAGGAAGAGGCATACGGCAACTTCAGCTCGTCGAATAGGTCTGGAACCGACGCAAAGGGGTCACCAAGAAAGGCGTCAGCATCTCTTTGGTGAATGAGATGCATATTGAGTAGAAGTGATGTGTTCAGATCTATGTGGCAGCGGAATTGTAAAATGATGCTGTCGTGTTTTAAATGTTCACGTCAAAGCAGAACTTGGGTATTGACTCCCCTTGCTAATTGCTTCCAGGTACAGAACCAATGATGGGAACAGCCCTCACTACGACGTTTTAAATGTACTACAACAGCACTGTCCCCAAAATCACCACAAAGGGGGGACTTTCCCTGACCATGGCGAACGACCCTGACTCTGGCTCACGGCAATGAACCGCACGTAAGCCTCCACGCTCGCCCCCATGCTTTGTCTACCGAGCATTTACACTGTTCCCTCCACACACGAAACTATAGCCGCCGCTTTCTGGCCCATCCGCGTCACAGTTCAGAAGTTAGGTACCATCGCTGGCATCAGTCATCGGCGACGGGTGAACCCTAGCTTGACGACAGCGAAAGATTACTCCGACAGCAGTCGATGACTCGATCCATAGGTACCCTACATGAACTCCCCGAACGCAGGTATGTTCGGGGATTTCCACACAGTACGCATCTACATAGTGTTAACTCCACATTCACTACGACATGTGCGAGAAACAGGTCCTCATCTGACTATCCCCGCCTCCGCTTGTTTTTACCTTCTATGGTGTGACCTGCAGACTGTACCATCCCTCGGGAAACTCGGGGTTACGATCACTCCAACCGTGTGGGTGTTGACACGGCAAGGAACGACGCGCCCTGGCCTGGTTTCAGGGGCACAGATGCGGCATTTCCCGGAGTTACGAACCCTCCAAGGCGGAACAAGCCCCGTCATATTGCCACCGAGGTTATGTTGCAGAATTCGAAGCTTGAAATGATACCTCCGCGGCCGAGTGTCGCACGAATGTAACCACTTTCATGTGGAGAAAACCCCTTACCCACCTGCGAACTCAGCTGGATCAAGATCCGGTCCCCCGCAGCGATCTGGCGGTCAAAGGGCAAACTGAACTGCAGGTTGCATACAGGTACGTGGGTGGCTTGGATTTCGGCAATGGAGCTACGCCCATTGGATGTGTGTAGGTTGCCTCCAACAACACAGCGGATAATATCCGATTTTCGCCTATTTACCCTCCATCAAGTGCACCACCCTGCTCATCATTACCTTTTCAGAAACGCCACAGCTTCCTACCGCAAGGCCCACACAACCGCTGCGCAACATGAACGCCACCCCCGTCTTCTCCCAGACGAAGACGCCAACCAACCCCTCCTCCTCCCACCTTATACGCTCGCACTCGATCTGAAACAAGACACTCGAGGAACGCACACTCGCGTAAAACTAAGCTTTACCCAGCAGCTTAGGATTCTTGGCAAAGCGGGCAACCAAGCTCGCCACGGCCGCGGCAAGGATGGTAGCGCCGGCCCAGCATTGCAAACCCACCCAGCCGCTGCTCGTGAGTATAGCACCGCCGATGGGGTTGCCAATCAGGATGCCAATACCAGCCAACGAAAAGCTCATACCCATCCGGGCGCCCAACACGTTGAGACTAGGCGTGAGCGTAACCACCGTCGGCGCAGGCAGCGAGACGAACGAACCCGACGTGAAGCCGTACAGCACGCAGAAGACGATCAGCCCCGCGGTGGATCTGATCCCGATCCACGCAAAGGCGAGCACGGCCGAACACAGCGCCGCGGGGGTCATGATGTTGAGCGGGCCCGTCTTGTCGGCGAAGTAGTTGGGCACGAGCCGGCCCAGGATGGACGTAGCGTTGAGGATGGTGACGAGATAAAAGCCCAGGTTGGTGTCGACGCCCGCGGCCTGGATCGCGTAGCTGTTGATGTAGTAGAAGGGCACCCACATGCCCATGGTGCCGACGAACTGGCCGACGGTGAACATGGTGTAGGGGACCTCAAGGAAGGCGCGCGGCTCGAGCAGCCGGCGCACCGACTTGGGCAGCACGCGCACGCGCATGACGGCGCAGCAGAGGCACAGGCCGGCCAGGGCGAGGAAAGCGACCACGCGCGTGGCCCAGGGGAAGCCGATGCGCGGCTGCAGCCGCGAGAATGTGATGGTGTAGATGACGCCGCCGAGACTGCTGCCCGAGGCGGCCACGCCCGTGGCGAAGGCCTTGCGCGTGGTGAAGTAGGTTGATACGATGGCCACGCTAGGCACGAAGAGGCAGCCGAAGCCGAGCCCTACCACGAGACCCTGTGCAAGCATCACCTGCCAGTACTGCGTGCAGAGGCTGGTCATCATCATGCCGAAGACGACGAGGAAGGAGCCTGTCCATAGGAGCAGGTTGAAGTAGCCGAGATCGAACAGCGGGCCGGTGGCGACACCGACAACGAGCAGTAGGCATGCTTGCAGAGAGCCCACCCACGAGATCTCGGACGGTGTCCTGTTGCGCAGGAGTTCCAGCTCATAGTAGGTTTGGTAGACACCGTAGGTGTTGACGAGACCCCTTTGTGTTGGTTAGCATACATGAAAGGGGCGTGGACTGGAGTCAAGCGAGTCACTAAGCAACAAGACTCAGGGGTAAAACACTCACCATGAATTCATGAAAAGAAAAAACGAGCCCAAGACCTGGAGCCAAGCAAGCACGCCTCCGTCTGGCGGTGCGGGGGGCTGTTCCTCGGCTTTGGCCGGGGGTTCTACTGGTGCGGCATCTACCGCCGACGGACGGACTTGTGCCTCTGCCGCCGGGTTTTCGCCTGCCGCAGTGGGTGTGTCGGCCCCGGAGCTGGCCCCCGAATGTTTCTCTGGATCTGGAACGTCCATTTTCAGACGTTTTCTGATAACAAGAAAGTGAAACAGAGCAATTAGACACAGGGCACAATGCCAGCGTCCGTCAAACTTCCCTCGGGCGTCGTGCGAGGGAGGGCTCGGTTTTGCGATGGCGGTCACTGTCGAAAAAGGGGCTCAAACCGCTTATGGAATGCATCTCGCACACCTATCAGTCGGGACAACCGTCGCCTATGTGGCACAGAAATGCCAAAAGAGGGCCAACATACTGGGGATGGGGATTTCTAAGCAAAATACCACGTTCCGCGGAAGCATTCGCAGATCATTTCCGGGACATGGACCATTCGCTTGCTTTGTCGCTTGATTTTCTTGCGGGACAGCGCGGAGGCAGGCGGATCTTGCTTTTATTGGTCCGATGATGATTTCCTCAGACGGCCCGGTCCGGGGCCAAACCAGGCTCGAGCCGGGCTCTCACGACCAGAATGCCCAAACAAGTTCGGCAGAGAGACCAAGTTCAAGGCTACCTCAGCAGGAAGACGAATAGGGCAAAGCACAAAACCAACTCGGCATTCGGTTCCGTAAACAAGCGAGCTGCCATTGGCAGAAAACCTGTTCCTCGATCTCGGTTAGATCATGGGGCAAACCACCGCCACTCGGCTAGGCAGGGAGCCCTAAGATACATGGGTACTTCCAGAGTTTCAGCGGAAACTTCCCGCGCTGCAAGCAAGGTTGGGGAGACACAGTAAATGTAACGAGGCAGTCCTGCTGTCGTTTCACGATCCTGTTACATTGACAGCCCCACCAGAGCCCCTGTACATGCACTTGACATCCCTCCGGGAGTCCGGCTATGGATGGTGTGAGGTTAAGCTGTGGGCCGAAACAAGCATCTCAAGCTTTTATGGTGCCACTCGGATTAATGTCAGCAAATGCTTACTCTCCCGCCAAGGAAGCTTAATTGCAGGTCCGCGGAGTGGTGGTGCGGCCCGTAATACGCTCCACCCATAGCCGCCCAGATAGGTACCGAAGGGGCAATGTTTACCGGAATTCGGGACTAACAAGCCAACATCATCAAATACTCGGTTCTCTTCCCCCGCGTAACCTGTTCAGTCCCCAAGAAAGGACCCCATAGGAACTGCATCCCGCGGCCAAACAACACGACTCTGCAAACCACGAATCAAGGAATTAGTATCGTAGCTCCTACGCCACCAACGTCACACGGAGATCATCAATCTGGATACGATAGCCTCTCTGCTTGTCAAATGCCTCATGTTCTAGACTAAGATGTAACCTCAAAACCACTCTAGACGCTTTATTTGCTCCCTTCAATTTTTCCAACTTAAGACCGAGCTCGCCTCAGCTGTTCTCCCAAACCTTCGAAAGCCAGGCACCCTTCGTCGTTTTTACTGACCTAGCTAGACAGCTTTGTAAAATAGACATTCAGATGGACTATTTCCCAACTAACGCAAGCGAATGCCATTCTGTGGATATCAAGGAGGGTAGACGGATTGTTCTTTTGCATAATTGGCCATTGTGCAACGAAGACTCCGTAGACCAAGTAGGAAATGTGATTAAAGGCACAGGACTGGTACGGTGGTTGCTATTTGAAGTTGTTGGGTTGGTTGGGCATCAGCCAGACGGCTTACACGAATAACGTAGGGTGGGGGGCAAAGGGGGGGGGAGGGGGGGGGTTGGACTTATTTAAACCTTCTTCAGTTCCCATCCTTAGTTGAGGAACAATGCACATCTTACATCCAAAAGCCGACCCACAAGCTTCCAGCTATTAACACTTATATAACCCGACAACCCCCATCATGGCCTCCTGGAACAGCTTAGAAGTCACCAATGAGCACCTGCTCCCCTACCTCAACTCCGAGGACGCTCCGCCGGAAGTCAAGGCGGGTATGCAGGCACTCCCTACAGAGCGTAACATCCTCAAGGTAATGGCCCCGTCGGTAGACTACGCGCGTACTGCCCGTCACTAATCAAGACCCGACCCTAGATCCTCGGCCACTCCACCGCCAACTTCCCATCTTTCATGAAGCACCTGAACTGCCAATGGAGCCCTGAGCGCAAGCTGCGCTCCTCGGACTGGCAGACCGCCGTGCTGCGCACCGCAGCGGTCCTGGATGCGCCGTACGAGTGGGAAGTCAACGAGCTCCTGGCACGTATCTTTGGCTTTAGCGACGAGCAACTGGCTGCTCTGAAGGACCCTCACACCGCTCTTCCCGAGGCTTTGTTCTCGCCTCGTCGCCGGCTTATAGCACTTGCCATTGAGGAGCTTAGCAGTTCCGAGAACCGCATAACCCCTGATACGCTGGAGCGGATGAAGGCGGTGTTTAGTACGGAGGAGATCGTCGAGCTACTGTACATGCATGGGATCTATGCATTCTTGGCTCGGCTTATGAGGACCGTGAAGATTGACTCGGATGGTCCGATTCCCGGGCTGGAGGACACGTTGAGGAAATACAATGCGGAAGCTATCGAGAAGGAGAAGCAGTACAAGGATTAACCTACGAGAACAATGCACTCATTGGTATTAGCTTAATAGAATATATTAGTTGGCCCGCTAGAATAGGTTTAAGTGTTCGCCTGCGCTACCTTGCCATAAATTGAAGGATACCTATCTGGAGGTGCCCATCATGACTTGAACTCGCAGCCGCAACCACAGACAAACTTCTTCGAAGGACGAAAGGGATGGAAACAATTTTGCCCAAATCATTCAATCGAGGAATCTTCAGATCATCAATCATCGTTTATCTGATAAATCAAGCAGTCCGCCATCATAAGCCCTTATCATCACATCCACTTACACCTCCCCAGCTCCCGCAAAGTCCAAAACATGCTTCCGATGTCCAATCTTCTTCTCTGCCGCCGCAGCCAAAACCCCCTTAACCTTCTCCTGAAATGCCTCCACGAACGACCCATCCATCGGCACCGGAATCCTCTCCACCACCGGCGCCCTCAACTCCCCCCGCGCAATCAAATCAGCCAACCAGCCTAACAAATCCTCCTGCTCCATCACCGACCGCTTCCCCAGCTGCTCCGACAGCCTGAAATTCCTAAACCGCACCTCATTCCAAAACACCATTTTCTGGCTCACCCTCACCACCCCATCCACACCCCCCAACGACCCATAATTCACATACGTGGCCCCCCTCGACAACAACCCCGCCAACGCCTCCCCCGCCGCCCCAAACACCGCATCCAACCCCAACACCACCCTCCCCCTCTCCGCCGCGGCCTTCAACTCCCCACTCGCCCCCACCCCACCCTCCCTCACCTCCCTCTCCGTCAACACCACATCCACATCAGCCATCCCCCCACCGCCACAACCCCCATCCCGCTCTCGCTCCCGCTCCCGAACAACAGCCACCACCCGCGCCCCCTTGCGCCGCACAAACTGCGCCACCACCTGCGCCACCGTGCTGCCCGCCGCGTTCTGCACCACCCAGTCGCCGGGGCGGAGCGCGCGCATGTCTTCGGTGAGGAGGTAGGCGGGCAGAAAGACCGTGCGCAGCATGCTCGCGGCGATGGGGTCGATGGTGATGTGTGGGATCATGGCTGAGGGGGTGGAGGTTGCGGTTGGGGTGGGGGTGGTGAGTGGGTTCATGTTGGGGAGGGGCAGGCGGGTGAGTGCCGAGAGTGGGAGGATGGCGTGGCGGCGCCAGGTGCCCAGGCCGTGGCGCTGGGGGATGACGAGGTCGCCTGGTTGGGGGAGGGGGTTGTGGTTTGTGGTGGTGGTGGGCGGTGGTGGGTTGGTGGCTTCGACGCGGGCGACGCCGTCGTTGCCTGGGATGGGGTTGTCCAAGTGGCGGTACTCTGGCTTCACGGGGTAGCGGCCGGCGATGGCCATCACGTCTTGGGGGTTGATCGGGGCCACGAGGAATGTGACCAGGGCGGTGGCCTCTGGGAGGGGTTTTTCGTCGCCGGGAACAGGGCCATCTTGGTCATGGTGGGCTTGGATGACCTCTGCCGGGCTATTGGACGTTGCCGAGTACGTGAGGACTACCTGGTTGGAAGCCATCGTTGCTGTGATGATGTCTGGACTGGAGTTTTCGAGGTTCTCAAACGATGGGGCTATTCCAAGCTGGCCTTGATGACCAACACGAGTCGTGTTGTCCACACTCTGGTACATACTTGATTCGTTTCATACAAACACCTGCTTTCTTCCTCGGAGCTTCGATTATCTCCGTCTACCTCGGCTAGCATTTGCCGGGTCGTGGTAAGAGGGGAGAACTTCATGCCGACACTGTAACGTGCCGTGGCTGACAAACAAGAAACCCATCTGCAGGTCTTGCATTGCCACATCGTAGCGTCTTGTCATCACCGATGCGGATGACAAGGTTCAAACTACCTTTACGAGCATCGGTTGCCGAAACTATGCTCAGCTTGGATCTCGGACGTATGACCAAGTGTTATGTACGTATGTGGCTTGTTGAGCCGCAAGGGTGATGCATTAACGAGACCAAGGTCTTCTTCTCCTTCTAGCCGGAGCAACGCCACTGAGTACGGAAATAATTCACTCCAGGTTGCGGCCAAATTCCGCACACTTCAGCAAGCTTCGGAACGGGGCGAAACGGGACGCCCTGGGGGTGGTGCAGATAGTAAAACGGGCCCAATGTCCCCATACATTTGAAGAAGTACCTGACACACACCCCAGGAACATCACGAACCATACATCACAATGTAACCAAGGCATATCGGACTCCGACAACCATGTCTATTTTGGACGAGAATGTACACTAGATGTGGGGGGTTAAACCGCTTGAACACCCCCGCTGGATAGGCGAACGCCACAATACTACCTCCCTCACATCTTGCTTGCTTTAGGAAAGTAAAAGCGAACAACACGAGTCAAGCCCTCGCCTACCGGATACATCTTCAGTCGTCACGTCCTACGAATTCAACCGAAGCAAAGTGCCCCAACGTCGAAAGGTCACCAACCATGGCAGCAGCACCCTCCTTTTCCACCATCCCACAATGGCAGGTCATCGGACAAGCGAAGCGGGACGAAGTCCTAAGACTCCTCCCCAGCGAATGGAAGATCGACGCTGTCCCCGCGCCGGAGCACCTCCGAGATGTCACCAACTATGCTAGGCAGTTCCTAACGGCCGAAGAGCGAGAAATCACCGAGGCTCCATCCGCCACCTCTCTCCTTACCAGAGTGGCGAGGGGGGAGCTGACGGCAGTCCAGGTCACTAAGGCATTCTGTCACAGGGCCACCATTGCCCATCAAGTGGTCAGTCACACAGCCCAGAGTAGTCTCTCGGCTGGAAGGCCTGCATCCCCCCTTACGGATCACTCACCATATCCTTACAGACAAACTGCCTTTCCGAAGTCATCTTCACTCAGGCCCTGGCTGACGCCGAAGCACTCGATGCCGCGTACAAGCGGGAGGGCAAGGTTGTCGGGCCGCTTCACGGGCTGCCCGTGTCGTTGAAGGACCAGTTCCGCGTCAGAGACACTGAAACGTCTCTCGGGTATGTCGGTTGGTTAGGTAAGAAGGAGACAGCAAATTCTGAGTCCTGGGTTGTCCAACAGCTGCGTAAGCTGGGGGCTATTGTCTTTGTGAAGACGAATGTCCCTTCCAGTTTGATGGTATGGACTTTCTCCTTGGCCTACCAGACAATACCCCATCCGTGATGCCACCTCTGACCTCCTCTGGGGCAGGCCCTTGAGACCAGTAACAACATTATTGGCTACACCGTCAATGCTGCCAACAGGCTGCTGTCCGCAAGTGGCTCCTCTGGAGGTAGGGTCCTTGAATCTCTTCCTCTCTATGAGAACAGCCTGAAAACTTACACTTACTCGCAGGTGAGGCAGCATTGATTGCTGCAGGCGGCAGCATCCTTGGTCTAGGTTCTGACCTGGGGGCATCCATCCGTCTACCCAGTGCGCTCAACGGAATCGTTGGCCTCCGTCCATCTCACGGCCGTCTACCTTATGTCGGTGTGGCAAACAGTGTACGTGTCTTACGCACTCCGATGTGCTCTAGCGGACCACGGAACTGATGATATGACTAGATGCTTGGACACCAAACTCTCGAATCCGTGATTGGGCCCATCGCTCGCAACATTGCAGATCTCCGACTGCTTGTACAAACCATTGTTGCCCTTGAGCCGTGGACGGCTGATCCCAAAGTTGTCAAGTTGCCTTGGCGAGAGAACGAGGAACTCGAGGCCCGGAGAAAGCTTGCCTCGAAGAAACTGATCTTTGCGGTGCTCCGTAATGACGGCGTGATTACTCCTCACCCTCCTGTGCAGCGAGTCGTGCAAGAGTCTGTCGACAAACTGAAAGCCGAGGGCTATGAGGTTCGTTTCGGGGAGCCCAACGCCCGGAATCCAGACAAAAGCTAACTGTTGTCATGCAATACCAGGTAATCGAATGGTCGCCCCCTGCGCATTCGGAGGCCTTCGAGATTTCTGTACGCTCTTTCACTGATGCCGTTGGTAAGAATCTTCACTGACAAATGCGTCACCAGTGGGCCTCCTTTACAGCGGATGCTGGGAAGGACTTCCACGACCAAATGTCGTTGTCTGGCGAGATCCCCGTTCCCGAACTTGCTTCCGTGTATGGTGAGAAACTTGGCCATCTGCCGTCTAAGACGGTCAATGACCTCTGGGATACCCAACGCCGGCGGGATGAATTCCAGGCCAGATACCTGCGGTACTGGGAGTCTACCCGAGACAAGACAAGCACTGGCGAGCCCGTGGACGCCCTCCTTGTCCCCGTTGCGCCAACGGTTGGCTATAAGCGGGGAAATGGCCTCTATCCTGGCTACACCTCCACGTACTCCGTGTTGGACTACTCAGTTGCGGTCGTCCGCGCTGGAAAGGCAGATGCTGCCAGAGATCTCCCGTACCATGACTTTAAGCCTCAGAGCGACTTTGATGGTCCGATTCAAGCACAGTGTATGCGTGCCCAGGCCGATGCTTCCTAGATGGCGTCTTGTGCTAATGAACTCCAATAGATGATCCCGACCTGTTCCATGGCAATCCAATTGGTCTTCAAGTGGTCGGCAGAAGGTTGGAGGAAGAGAAAGTGTTGGCCATCGCAGAGGAAGTTGAGAAAATTATCTATCAGATCTAGTGCCCGGTTTTAGTGCCCATGGTGCTGAAAACAAAAATCCTCCGAGCAACAGCATCCTTAGGTTGTATTAACCCTCATGGCTTGTTCTTGTTGTGCTTCCCCCGAGTTCCCTGCATCTCTCGTGACGAATCTACTTCTGGTCTTCTGCACGGTATGAACACGGGAGGGAAACCGTGAAAGCGGCTTCAAAATACAACGTGGGTCGAGATGCAGCAAAGCAAGTGTGCAACCTCGGCTGTACTTGACATCTAGCAGCACAGAGCGCATGTTTCAGCATGGCTCTAACATCTAAAAAAAAACCCAAATTAAGCTTAAAGTTTGTGTAACTACGACGTTTGTAAATAGGTAGTCCTAACGGTCTGGTCCTAACGAAATCCCAAAAAAACTCCATCGCTTTGACTGCCTTCATGGCAACAACATGTGTCATGGCATATCATACCCGTGAGCCCCTCAAAAGCACGCATGTAATTGAAGTTGCCAAGGTCCCCAAAGGCCAAAAGCTACTCCTTATCGACCATCAAATCCAGTGGTTGGATCCGAAGGAACCAAGAAGGCCGCCTCTACTTGGCCTCCCAACTTTTCGTCAAGGCGCAATCCTCGGCCCAAAATCAGCTCATGCGCATTGCCGAGCTCGCAATACCCCAACAGGAACAAGTCCCGAGTCCTCACCTTGATGACTGCATGCCACAAGCTACATGCGGCTAATTCTGATACGTTCCTCCCTCACGTCCTGGAACCCACAAGGACCCTTTGGCTGACGAGAAAGTTCCCCCGGCGCTCTTTTCCCCGGTGGCAAAGCGGCACGTCCAACTCTCGCCTGTAGTTTTGAGTTTCAACCGAAACAGAAGTCGGTATGTTGTTTACTCGCTAACTCTATGAGAATGAGCCGAAATGCTACACAGTGTTGCCCACGGACAGGAAATGCAATGCCATGTAACACAGTGCGCAAGTGCTACGGCGATTCGGGCACCTCCCTCGCCTCCACGGTATATTACCCGATACGCAAGCTCAGCGGACAAGGGCCCAGCAGTGCGCCTCATATCCACAAGCCATTAAACAAAGTTTGAAAAAGTCCTCGCCTGGCCTAGCCATAGACAACTGATCAACGTAAGATTCACCCGGGATCCTTGCCGTTCACGACTCCAGGTTTCATTGACCCCCGCTGCGTGTCATTCCCTTTAAGCATAACCGCGGCGTGACCTTCCCCGTTGGTCGAAGGCGCTCAGAAACGGCTGGACTAGAAGCAGGTGCTTGGACCTGGATGTATGTATCTGTACATCGATCAAGCAATACGTGTGGTTACTCAAGTTGCGCGTGGCGTGCGTTTGAGGCTCAGGGGCTATGCCAGGGACAGCTCGGTGAATGCCTGACCAGCTTGCCGAAGGCACGTCATCGGAATCATTCCGGTTCTGTTCCGCCCGCGGCAAGCTATGGTGAACTTTCAAACATGTCGAGAAGTCACTAAGATCTCAGAAAACCAAGAGTATTAAATGACAGCAGCATGCCTCGATCACAGAAGACTTCCTTCTAGCAGAGCACACACCGCACCATACAACCAAACAGCGATCTCACCTCCTAACCCACAACCAAAATCCTACAGGCTTCATACGGCGTCAAAATGCTGACCAGCGTTCTTTCCTTTACGGTAGATACGACTACTTTCCAAAACTCAATGCGGGAGCTCCATCTTACTGACGTTTTACTTGTGTTAATGATAGCCCGAGCAGGCGGCCACCGTTACCGAATACTGCACAGAGAGTTCGGAAGATGTCTCCCCCAACCTCAAGGAGCTTTGGGACTATACCGTCTCTGAGTTTGACGATGCGGACAAGATGTCTTCGCCGCTGCAGTCTGCTACCTTCAAGTTCCTTGCTGAGCTCCTAAGGCCTCGGAGGAGTAAGTCTCCCGGCCCCATAACCTACGCCATTAGCAAAACTAACACAATGGTAGTCCTCGAGATCGGCTGCTACACCGGGTATAGCGCGCTGACGTGGCACGAAGCCACCGTCGGTACCGGGGCGGAGATCATCTCCCTCGAGCTCGACCCTAAGATGATTGCGGCCTCCAAGCGGACCTTTTCCCGGTACGATATCGAAGACCGCGTGCAGCTGATTGAGGGACCCGCCGAGGAGTCCATCAAAAAGCTGACCGGTAGCTTTGACCTCATCTTCGTCGATGCCAACAAGGACGGTTACGAGACGTACGTCAAGCAGATCCTTGACCAGCACCTCCTGACTCCGGGCGGCCTCCTTATCGGAGACAACAGTGAGTAGTCTTCTATGTGTCTGTCGTTCAGAATTCTTCACTAACAGGTTCTCCTTCAGTCTTCGCCCGCGGCATGACCATCTCCCCGGATTACAACCCCCAGCTTCCGGAGAGGGTGCGACCGTACTGGACCGCTAACGGCAAGGCACTCCGAAAGTTCAACACTTTCGTGAGAAATGACCCCAGGGTCGACGTTGTTCTCCTGCCGGTCTTTGACGGCCTGACCTTGGTCAAGCTCAAGCCACTCATGAACTGAACCGGCGGACCGGACCACAAAATTTGGCAGGCTCTGGAATTTGAAGGATAGATAGTGTATACATACAACGCAAGAAGTGTTTGAAAAACATATCTCTCAATCTGCAGTTGTAGTAAATATTTCGGGTGACCAATGTCAAAATAGTGAATCAAGTAGGTGCCATCACCGACCGGCAGCAGACCCCTTCCACTCCTGCCACGCAATCCACGCCTGAAAGATACTCACGCAGAGACTCAACAGCCCCAGCAGCACGGCGGTAAAGATGCCCACGGCGGTCGCGAGCATGATATGCCGTGACTTGCTCCTCCTCTCCAGCCACACATCCAGCTTCCCGCGCGGCTTCGGGTTCTCGACCTCGTCGTACAGGTCCATCAGGCGTGTGCCCCAGACGGGGAAACACAGCGCCCTCTCCCTCTCGTGCGGGCTGAGCTCGAATAAGGCCGTCCCGAACCGGAGTGAGTCTGGGTCGAAGCCCTGCTTGCTCACCAGCGTCCGGAGCATTGCTTGCGAGGTGCCGCCTGGTGGGAAGAGGAGCTGGAGGGTGTAGAGGGTCTCGAGTGCCAGTTCGCGTGGGAGGCTGGAGGGGGTTGTTTCGTGGCTGCTTCCTCAAGGTGGGGATTGTTAGTTCAGTCCAGTCATGGCTTGGCTAATGTTCCCTCAGTGGTTAGGCACCTACGCTTCATCGCCCCCTCTAGACTTTGTGGCCAAGAGATGTTCCCTTAGAACACTGGTCAGATGAAAGACCTGCACTACTCCCATCGCCGAATCCAGCCTCAGGTGGTCCCGCAAGTCATCAGTCCGCTCTATCCTTATCCTGGCAACCCTTTTTAACATTTCGGCTGTTAAGCTGTTCTTGATGGCTGTCGACTGGGGATCGCCAACTTGCAAACTGGGATGGATCCGAGGAGGGAAGATCTCCGCCATGGTGTCTTGCAAGCACTTGGTAGAGGCCCAGACCGCTGGTGGCGGGGCGCCTATGCCTCCCTCGTCCCCATTGCGCATCCGGTCGAGGAAGAAGTCTTGATTATCGGCACCGTCGAAATTTGTCATGGTCAAGACTCGGGCCGCCAGATTGAAGGCACGGTCCTGATCGCTCTCGGGCACCATCGTCTGTCTATCAACGTCCCCGAAACGAGTAGCAAAATGCTCGCGCACACAGAGCGCTCGAGGAAGCGTAAAGCCGCATCGCCTGGTGAGCCGGATAATGTCGAAGAGGTCCCGGTGACCCCTAAGAGCCTGGTCCTCCTCGCCAAAGAAGTCCGGGACGTACGACCCGGTCACCTCTCGGTAGAAATCGAAAAAGGGGCCTAGGCGTTCACTTCTTTGCCCCCAGGGGCAATCGTCGGCCCCCAGACAGCGTCGTGATGGGGAGGATCTTCCTCCTATGTATTCTTGGCAATTCTCGCACAATTTCCAGTCCCATATTGCTTGGCATAATTCCTTGAGTTCGGGTACGGTGACGTCTTGAAGAGGAAACGCCATCTTGGAACTTGACTAGACTTTTGGGCTTGAGCTTTCTCAACTTGAAAACTAGAAATCCAAGAATCGTCTCACCTTCGACATGCAGATGTCAATCGTCAGGCTCCGAGCAGCACGTGTCTTCCGAGTGGCTGTGAAACGTACCAATAGGGGTGGTGCCCGCCGGGTGATGCCAGCAACTGCGCCCCCGATTTACCTGCACAGGGACCTGAATTCCGTTCAAATTATTGGCGTGATTTTAAGGACACTGCCTCCCCTAATGCTCCCAGAGTCGTACTGCAGTCTCACGCGCATGGATGTCGGTTGCCTCATATTATGAATGCGCACCACCACTTCAACCTCTTCAATATAATACCGATGTAATGTCACCTGGTAGCCTGAGTCTGCCTCATGTCTGCAATTTATTGCGCAACCAGAATACCAGAATATACAGGCATCAATTAGCCCAACCACCTCCCCGTGTGTCAATGCCAACATGTCGTGGTCATCATTTGCGATCCCAACCCCGCGCACCTCCACCGTCGCCTCCAATTCCGACTCAGATAGCTTGACGCTATCCTCCACAACAACATGGAGCCAAAGTTCGGCCGGAACGCAGCCGGTTCCCTGCCCGGGCAGGCCCTTAGCACACATTGATTCTGGCTACGGGACCCAAGACAACTCTGCCCTTGTCTCTCTGAGCGTCAGAAGCAACTCGGAACTATCGAAACGAAATGGCGAAGCATCTCGAGGCAATACCCCAAGAAGCGTCCCGTTGCCCGGCAAGGAAGAGCTACATATATTCAGGATTGAGGTGGATGGCGCCTGCAACGCCCGCTTTCGGGAAATTGCGCCAGAGTTACAGCGCCAATTACTGAAAAGCACTCAACAAGGGATAACCCTATTCCAGTCATCGTCAAGGGCCAGGCCTAGGAGGCAAATGACCATGGCTTTAAGACTCATGACGGTTGGTAGAACGATCGAGATGGCGAGGCCATCCATCGTCATCTTCCTGCCCAGTGAGAGAGCCAGCCGGATCGAAACTTTGCTAGAACAGCCATATATGCGGTCGCTGTACAGGCCTGATGACGGCATAACACCCTCATTCGACGTTGTTGTCGTCGGCCAGGCGCCGAGGAAACGATTCTGTGAAGACGTTCGGGTTACTTGGGACACGAGCCGCTCCAAAGAAAGGGATCTTGCCACCTACTGTGGCGCTCGGATCTGTCTGAAAACAAACCAGGGGGCGTCGGCCATGGCTACACTAGGGGGCATTGTGAAGCTTACCTACGGACCCAGAGACTTTGAACTCGTTGGCATGACCGCAGGGCATATCTTGGAAGAGCTATTCGATCTCGAAGAAGCAGAGAGCCTCGGCGGGCACGTCATCAAGGACGACCAAATCAACCCCGACCCCCTGGGCTTCAACCACCCCCGCACCATAGGGCAGATGCTCCCCCCTCACCCGCCAACAAACAACAACAACAACAGCATAACATCCTCCCCCAACAACGACACCACCACTCCCACCCCAGCATGCGACTGGGCCCTCTTCACCTTCGAGCCCACCCTGCGCATCCG